TGTTTTGAAGCACTTTACCCATTGTTAATATTTTAAATGTTCCTGTTCTGTTATAAATAAATGTTTACATGTTTGAAAGCACTTTAGCTATTGTTAATATTTAAAATATGCAAGTTCTGTTAAAAATAAATGTTTACATGTTTACAGCACTTACTGCTTGATCCTTCCCCTGATTCTGTGTCCGGGGTAAGGGATGGGGACGGTTGGTAGGGGATCTCTGTGAGGGTGATGAAGAGCTCCTGGCTGTCGGGGAAATCAGGGGTGCCAGCGCTGTTGACTGCATCGTCCTCCTCATCTCCTTCATCTTCCCCGTCCGCTAACATGTCCGAAGAGGAACCGGCCGAGGACAATATCCCATCCTCAGAGTCCACGGTCAGTGGTGGGGTAGTGGTGGCGGCCGCACCTAGGATGGAATGCAGTGCCTCGTAGAAACGGGATGTGTGGGGCTGGGATCCGGAGCGTCCGTTTGCCTCTTTGGTCTTCTGGTAGCCTTGTCTCAGCTCCTTGATTTTCACGCGGCACTGCGTTGCATCCCGGCTGTATCCTCTCTCTGCCATGGCTTTAGAGATCTTCTCGTAGATCTTTGCATTCCATCTTTTGGAGCGCAGCTCGGCAAGCACGGACTCATCTCCCCACACAGCGATGAGATCCAAGACTTCCCGATCAGTCCATGCTGGGGCCCTCTTTCTAGTCTGGGATTGCACGGCCATCTCTGCTGGAGAGCTCTGCATCGTTGCCACTGCTGCTGAGCTCGCCACGGTGTCCAAACAGAAACTGCGATTCAAACTGCCCAGACAGGAAAAGGAATTCAAATTTTCCCGGGGTGTGGCTGGTCAGAGCATCCGAGCTCGGACTGCTGTCCAGAGCGTCAACAGAGTGGTGCACTGTGGGATAGCTCCTGGAGCTATTAGCATCGATTTCCATCCACACCTAGCCTAATTCGATATGGCCATTTCGAATTTAGCGCTACTCCTCTCGTTGGGGAGGATTACAGAAATCGATTTAAAGAGAGCTCTATGTCGAACTAAATAGCCTCGTGGTGTGGACGGGTGCAGGGTTAATTCGATTTAACGGTGCTAAATTCGACATAAACGCCTAGTGCAGACCAGGCCTCAGACACTTCAGACAGCTGGAGTGTGGGTCGCTCCCCAGCATAGACTTGCTGCAGGAGGCACAGGGTTTGAAGCTGGAGGACAGGGACATACCCAGCCCCAGTGGCAAAGGGAGCCCCTCTATGCTAAGAGAGGGAGCTCTATCTACACCAATGCTATTTACATTACTACTAAAACTAAGACTAATAAACTAAGCTGAAGAGAAACCACTGAATAACACCTTGCTGAAGCAAGAGTTGTTCTAGCGGCTGTCACGGGGGGTAAGAAGGAATTGAGAGGCTGCAGGGCTGGCAGTGCCCCTTATAACAGCACATAAGCAAAGTGCATGGCACCAAAAGGCGCTAGAGCTGGCCTGACTGATATCACTATGGAAAAAAATTCTGGCGAATGTGCACACGGTGTGCACATACCTAATGTAGAACGGATATAATCACTTGAAGAACCTGCTTTTCATATTTAAATGAAATCTGTGATTCACCCATAATCCCGACTCTGGGAGCTGGGTCTTTATGGCCAAAGGAATACAAGACACTATCAAGGCCTTGAGAAATGGGCAGGGATAGGGGGGTTGCTAGTAAAATGGTGCCTGAGTCAGGAGGTGAAGTTCGGCAAATTGGTTATAGTCAACTTTGTAACTGTTAGGCAAATTAGACCTTTTCTGGGGCGGTTAGGGACTCCCTGTCAGAGCCAGAGACCTAGTAGGAGCTAGCTGTAACTGCTATGCACAGAAACAGTTGAGACAATTGTGGAAGAAACAAACTCCACTCTCAGGTTGGAAGCAACAAAATCAGAGACCGCTTTATTCAAGCAATTGCAAGGGAAGAATACAGCTGGCAGAGAGCATCCCTGCCTCAGTTTCTCCAAAGTACAAGCAAAATCACACAAGCATTTATACCTCTTTGTGACATGCATTAATTAAAAACATCTGCATTTTATTTAGACCATTTGCTATCTAGTCCAGTATTTACTCACTTTCTCTTCTCAAAACATCGTTCTCTCAAGGCTAGGTCACGCCGACTATTCTGCTGTTTTCCACTCGCTTCTGACGTGAGCCCGGCTTCTACAGGTCTCGCGATATTAGGCTAAGACTTAGCTCAACCGTTGCTCTGTTTCTTACACTTAAATGGCAACTTAAACGCTCTCTTTTCTTCCCTGCTTCCACACTAGTGAGTGCTATGCAAGCAGTTGCAGGCAGACACAGCCCAAGTGCAGCTGAACCCACAGGCAAGGGGTGTAGGGGGTAAGTTAGGAAAAGCAGCTCAGAAGGTCCGTCGACAGCCAAAACCACGAAACACCCGGAAGATGTGATGGATTCTATTTCTGACTCTGCTGTAAGTATCTGATGGCTCCTTACAGTATTTAGGTGGGGACAATTCATTCATATAATCCTTTAATGTGCTATTGGGCTGACCAGCCTTTGGACTAACAAAGGTCCTTTCAGTTAAAGTGTAGACTGGGGTGGGCAAACTTTTTGGCTCGAGGGTCACATCGGGGAATAAATTGTATGGCGTGCCATGAATGCTCACAAAATTGGGGTTGGGGTGTGGGAGGGGGTGCGGGCTCTGGGGTGGGGCTGGGGATGAGGAGTTTGGGGTGTAGGAGGGTGCTCTGGGCTGGGACAGAGGGGTTCGGAGGGCAGGAGGGGGATCAGGGCTGGGGCGTGGGGAGAGGCTCAGGGGTGCAGGCTCTGAGCGGCACTTACCTCAAGTGTGGTGCAGCCCTGACCCAGCACCCCGGCTGGAGCAGGGCCAAGCCGCTGGTGCGGCCCCCGACCCAGTGCCCCGTCCGGAGTGTCGGTGCAGTCCCAAGCTGCGTGGTGTGGCCCTGACCCAGCACTCCGGCTGGAGCGGGGCCGAGCCACATGGTGCATCCCCCGACCCAGCGCCCCAGCCGGGCCGAGCCGCGTGGTGCAGCTCACAGGCCGGTTTAAAATGGCCCGCAGGTCGTAGTTTACCTACCCCTGGTGTAGACTCATTGAACCTTATGGGGAAGGGATAAAGATTCCCAACAATGGCCAATACCAACGATCACCCAAGTTGGCCACAGGCTATTTACACATCAGCGGCTGAAGCGGCTCAGCTGGGCCATGCAGCTCAGGGCTTGGAAGCAGAAGGAATTTCAGATCGAAACTAAAAACTAAAAATCCAGCTGTCAAATGTTCAGAGGTCTGTGTCATGGGTGGCCAAACAGGGTGATCACACCGGGGAAGTGCTGTCTGGGATTAAAGCCTATGAAGTCTGTTATGTGCTTGATGTTTGTGCCCCCCCCCCCTCCAGCCCCCCTTCGTCTCATCCCTGGGTGGCATTGGAACCCCAGGGGGAGTGGTAGCTGGTACACACCAGGGGGCAGTTTAAGGGCAGGAACAGTCCCATGTCTGTTTAGATGCACTTTTCTTTCAATCAAACTGATGCAGAAGGCCCCCCGCTCCCAGTGCTGGGGATGATTCCCACCTGTGAACTGCAATCGGGACATTTCAAAGTGGAAGGCTACTCTAGGATCTTGTGCAATGATTTCTCCTGCTGTGTTCACCACCAAATGCCCCTTGGCCCAGGGAAATGTCCACAGGCCCATTTTCCAGTGGGGGGAAACAGAGAGAGAGGCAGCGTAAGTGACTTGGAAAAGGTTACATAGAAAATGCAGGGCAGAATGGGGAAAAGAGCTCTGCTCTCGATGGCAGCAGCTCTAAGTCTGAGCCAACAGAGCACAGAGCCTCACACAACAGACTTCAAATCGCTGACTTCAGGCCACCATACAATGGAGCTAACAATTCTCACCCACCTTTGTGAAAGACTTTGAGATATGTAGGCAACAGCGTGCTGTGCAAGTGCAATGGAGCGCCCTTAGCCACGTTCTCAGACATTAAGCCCAGAGAAGGTCAGTAACATGGCAGGGAGGTCACATCGCCCCACTGGGTGGCATCAGCTGTGAAGCCATGAGAACTGGGCTCTAGTCTTGGGGCTGACACTTATTTGGCATTTTCCTTCTCGATGTTCATAGTGAAAGGAGCTGTGTGACACTTTGGGGGTGTTGCCACTGACATCAGCAGGGCCAGGGATTGCACCCTTGGTCAGGTGTTGAACGACCACAATGTACTTCATACAATATCGCACCATTTCCAAAACACAAGCATTTAGAGCAAGGAGCAGAGCCTTTCAGGACAGCAGAAAGCTTGCACTGCCCATGTGAGGGGGATGGTCATGATTCAATCCAGACTTAAGATCTTAGGTGCCAGTTTGTGATATCTTACATGAGTCAAGTATGAGAGGGGTAGCCGTGTTAGTCTGGATCTGTAAAAAGCAACAAGAGAGTCCTGTGGCACCTTATAGACTAATAGATGTATTGGTTTTCACACCTCAACTGCCAGAAGAGGGCCTCATCCTCCCTGATCGAGCTGACCTCATTATCTCCAGACTGATTCTGGCCTGCATATTTATACCTGCCTCTGGAAATTTCCACCACGTGGGAATTCACCCACGAAAGCTTATGCTCCAATACATCTTACAGGAGTGACATTTTCAGAGGGGGTACCTGGCACTTACATGAAACTAGGCTCCTTCAAGGGGTCTCCTGTTGGGCCCCCTTCATCACTGTGAAGACTCTTGGCCAGTGCATTGTTGACCATGTGGCAGCAAACAGATTAGAATAGCCAGCACTATCCATTGCCTTGCTTTAAGCGCTGGGGGTTTTTATCAATGGAGGTCGGTGGCACTGTTGCAATTTAGCCATGTTAGCTAGTTTTTGGAATATAAAACGCGATGATTAAGGTGTCGATCCTGCAATAAGCCCTTTATGGAGCTGGGGCCCAAACACTATCGCAGTCTTGGGGGGAATCCAGTCTCAATGCAGAAAACCAGATAAAATTTCAGACAAAGTAGTTTTAGCTTTATATTCAGTACAAATGTTTATTTTTGCAATGAGAACCGCACAAAAAAACCTTTAGTATATAAGTGAAAACTCTATGAATTCCCTTCTACAAATGTCTAAAGTGTTTAATACAAGTCTCAAATTCACTGACAGAATTATTTGCCAAGCGTTCCGTGCAAAAAGTACAGTGGGATTGTACGTTTCTCTTATTCTTTTGTACAGGATTAAAGAGGAGGAGAAAATAACCAGGATTACATCATTTAGACTAGACTTCTATAGCAAGAAGATGCATTCTAATGTCCATAACTGTTAAATCATACACAAGGGGATGGGGTGGGGGAAAATTAAATAGTGTATCATCTGAATTACAACCCAATTATAAACACACACAGTAAAACAGGGAAAAAAACATGAGAATAGCAAAAAAAACCAAACCAAAACAAAAAAAACCACAACCACCTTTGGCAGAAAAAAACTGAAGGAATCATTTCTCCAGCTAAAGATACCACGTTATGGTCATCATTCGGCGACGTGTAAAAAACAAACAAAAAAAATGCACAGAATAGAACAAGAGTACAACTTAAAAAAATATTTAAAGTTACAGAGTATGTAGGTGCAACCTGTAAACGTTTCCAGATATTTGCAAACAATACAGAGGTGAGCAAGAAAGGGAAAGAAACAGACTACTGGATTAACCCACCAGTCTAAAAAATGCTACCGCTACTCCGAATTATTAACTACTGACGATAAAGGTTTGGCAAATTTCAAATGCAAAAAAGGGCTGAACATTAAAAAAAGGACTAATATCGCTATTGACTAGATACAGGGGGGTTTGTTCTTTGCATACATATAAATTATATAATATTTGTTTTCTTTATTTTACAACCTAGGGTGCTCTCTTAGAAGTTCCAGCACTTCCAATTGGTTTGTTTTCTTGTTTGCAATGTGGTGGATTTTATGTACAATTGCGATGAGTGTGTGTGTGGTCACTCTTACAGCGGATGTGCACTTAAAAATACCCGGAAACCCTGAGCTTAAAATTAAAGGAGGGAGGAGATGATCACCCAAAGTGCTTTCATAAGAAGAGGAGAGAGCGTGGAAAGAGGAATACTGCCCAAGAAGGGTGAGAGATGGAAGCAGCTCACCCCATGGTTCTGCGTGAGGTTCAAGAGACGTCGTTGGAAGAGGTTAGAGGAGAAGCCAAAGGTTCAGATTTCCCCCACTATGCACAACCAAAAAAAGATTGAAATCCAGAGGCAATTTACAGACTGTGACACAGGCCTGTTCTGCAGAGGATGCAGCTGAAGCCTTGGGAAAGGACTGTAAGAAGTGACTGTTACTAGCCCTCGGGACATGGGAATAGCACGTTCCCTACCTCTCTTCCATGCCCTACAGTGCCATGAGGTTTTGCTCCTGCCAATTCTTGGGGATCAGAGTAAAATCAAGCATATCCCCTATTCCCCTGCTCGGCACAGCACAGAGAATCTGCCCAAGCCAAGAGAGCCTGCCCACACTTTGCCTAACCTGAGGCCCCATCAACCATTTGCCAGCAACATAAGGGTGGCTCCTAATTTGCATAAAATGATGCCAGTTGTGTCCATTATCATCATGGGTGGGGGGCCTTGGCAGCTCACAAGAATACTACAAGTCCCAGCATGCAATGATCTTGGCCAGGCCACTAGCATGAGCACAGGATACTGGGACCTTTCAGATTGCAGTTGTATTTTAAAGTTAAGGGCAGCCACCACTTGTTGATCCACACTGGCACATCTCATCTAAACAAACCCACTGAGCTCTGAGGCTAAGCTGCAGCCAGTCACTGGTCTGGCCTGGGCTCTGCCAAGCAAGGAGAACAGGGATGCTGCTCTTTTGGGTTTCTCTTTGCAACAGCAGCAGGATCAGCTGCTAATGAAGTCCCCTGGTGCAGGTTCTCCCAGACAAAGGAAATCAGGACTTTTCCAGTAGAGACACCAAGGGGCTCTAATGAGACAGGCAGTTCACTGGGATTATTTCCTGAAATAGCCAACAGAAAAGTGGGGCTCTACATTCCCAAGCACAGACAGATCCTCACCTGATGCAGTTAATAAGCTCCCTGTGATAATTAGATAGAATCAAGAACTATTCCTCATGCCATCACCAGACAAATCCTGCACTCTGCTTCTCTGGTCTTGCCTGTGACTATGGATAGCACAGTGGGGAGGCCAGAGATTAAGAGCTACGGAGATGAGGGACTTGAATGTCCTGACCATTCTCTTGGTCAGTACAAGTTTCGATCGGGAGGAGCCTGTCAGGTTTGACTGAGTGTTGTTTCATTAGAGTGGGGGGTAGGGGATGGACTTGGGCAGGTTTATGGGATGGATTTCTAGACTTTCTTGCAGCCTCCCCACTACCCCAGCCGGCTCACACATCACTAGGTCGATCATGTTAGCTAAGAGAAACTTAACAGGCTGATTTCTTTTAAACTTATTCCCCTCCCCACTGGCAGCAGAGAGCTATAAGGGATGACAAGAAAGTAGCTTAGAAAACACTGAAGTCAGCTTATGGCAGACGGTCAAACCCTACAACCTGAGGCTGCTATTTCAACGCTTGCTTGGTCACGGAGACAATAGCAAAGTGGAGTTTATCCATACTAGTGCCGGCTAATCTGTCCCCTGTCCTGACTGGATCTTCCCAGGGATAGCTGCACCCAGTTCTCACACTGAACTAGGTCTGGAATGTGAAGAGAAGGCCCTCCCACCCCGTCATCCAACCCCCACATTCAAACCTCAGAAAGCAAGTATCAATGGAAGCCATCAGCTCTCAAAATGAATAGCTTGGCCAAGGCTTGGAGAATCCCAGCTCTTGCTCAGTGGGACAAACGTCACCTCTGGAGTTAGTCAGGCTCTTGTGCTTGCTTTACATAGTGTCAGCTACGTCTGCATCACAATCTCAGAAACTGGGAAGGGACTGCGCTGGTTGTCTGAGACGCTGTGGGTGTCAGTGCTTGGGGTCCTGATGCGCCCTCTGGGTGAGAGAGGGGGGCCAACAGCAGGATGAAGCCTTCACACAAGTTCAGCCTCACTACACCTTGTCCAGGATTGTGTTGCTTTAGCATGGCAGCTCTCCTAGCCCTCGTTTAGGAGGGAAAATGCACACTGGCTACCTAGGACAAGCTTCCCCTCAGGATGGGGACAGGAGCGTGAGAACTCCTTCCTTTCCCCTAGAGCACAGTCAGGAGATAGGGACAACCTTTCCTCAACAATCCTCACCCCTTTAAACAACTTAATCACAAATAGGATTCAAAGAAATGTCAGTACGACACCATCTTTTAAAAAAAAAGAGATGAGTTTATTCCATGATCAGTACAGACCAAATGCATATTCACCGTATTAAAGTAAAACCAATCAATTACTCCAGCGCTCACCCCATACTGACACACCAGTATTGTACTGTATAGTGGGTATTTATGGCACATAACGTTTTAACAGTTCATAGAATAAAATTAAAAGAACACTGAAGGCGCATGGGAAAGCGCCTGCTGCTAGTGAGTGAGATTTGATAGGTGGTGGAAGGAGCCTTTCCAAAACTGCCGCCTCCTCTTGCCCTCCTCTCCGCCACTTCTTTTAGGTATAAAAACTTTTTTTTTTTAATCATATTTTATGACATTTAAAAAAAACCAAAATGCAGCTTTCTGGTTTTACAGTTAAAAATATAGACTAAAAGTTTGAAACTGAGCAAAATATAAGCAGTGTTTTTACACCGAGTTTGGTGGCCCACCAAAACCCTCAAACAAATATATGCCAACTATAGTCACTATACAATACAGCCACAGTCAAACACTAGTGACAGGGTGGTAGCTTCCCCTGGTGTTACTGGTTTCTCCACTCCACTCTATAACAAAGAGACAATTAATACCCAGTCAAGAGCTGAGCAGTAACAAACTGCCTGGAGGAAAAAAACAGACTGAAAGAAACTGACTTTGGTTGGTAGTCTAGCTCCAATTCCCGGACCTCCACACAATGCTAAAACAAAAACCTCACTCAAATGGCCAGTTACACTTGACACCTCCACTGTACTATTCCCTTTTTCACAAGCGAACACTTACAGAGAATGGCTCCCAGCTAAAGGCTTGTGGGAAGTTAAGTTAAAGGCAAAGCCAGTGATGAAAGGACCAGACACAGCTTGTGTATTTTCCCAGCTGGACCCCAGGGCTCCCATTCTTGCCAGGATACTCCCATAGGCAGCCTCTCAGTGAAGAGCATCTCTTGCTGTCATGACACAGCACTGTTTATTCATAGATATTCTGTAACTTAGAACCTTTATGGATAGAAAAGGTGTGAAGAACATGAAGTCCTGGATATACTGTGAATACGTTTGGCATAGAGAATGTCGAGTGATCAGGGCACCCTTCCCAGCAGCTGCATGTCCAATCAAACCTAGTACGTAGTTGGCTTGTCTTGGTCAGTCTTTCTTCAGTGTGTGAGGGGGGGCAAAAGTCAAACTGTAAGGCAGACTCTGCTGATCCTTCGGAGGCCTCGACTGAAAGATCTGCAATGGTCAGACATGCAGAAGGGCTGCAGGAATGCTCCCCCTCCCAGCCGCCATTAACACTATGGAGAGTCAAAGATTCGCCGGGAAATTAAAGAGTCAGGAGAAGAAAACCAGGCGCTATTAGAAAAGATTCTCTTCGAATATTGCCAACAAATCGCTCTGGAAATTCATGTCGATAGTAGCTGCCATCTGAAGGGGGAGAGGAGATAGGAGAATTACAAAGGCTGCAGGATTGATGCTTACAGGAGCACATTGCAGGGATGCTGCACTTGACTCAATGGGTGGCATTAGGGGCCAGGGATTTTGCTGGGCTACCTAAACTTTTTACTGGTATAATCTAGTATTTTTGCCCTATAAAAGTGGACCTAAGCCTCCTGGCACAGTTGTCTGCCAATCTGTTCAAGTTGGGAGTCTTCACTCAGTTCACCAAGGGATCAGCATCCCAGCAAAAGCACTCTGGCCTGCTTGTAACCCCTGGCCGATAAACCCAGCGTTAAATTAAACTGCAGAGTGATGCTCTGTCACTCAGCTCACTGCCTGAACATCTGCCTCAAATTCCCCCCCCCCCAGTGGGCCCAATATCTTCCCCCCCCCCACCCCTCCCCCACCCCCCACTCACCGCCTCTCTGCGCCTTCGCTCCTGCTCCCGTTTTCTGGCCATCTCTCTCTGCTGATCCAGCATAGACTGAGAGGACTGTGGCTGAGAGCTCTGTGCTTGGGGCGCAGAGGCTGCAGCTGACACCTGCTGCTGCTGCTGCTGCTGCTCCTGGCGTCTTCGGACTTCTTCCTGAACTCTGCGAGCTTGCTCCAGGGCATCCTCATCATCACGACTCCTGCCAAGACCCAAAAGTGTCATTAGAATGGTGGGGCGCTTTGTGCAAACCCATAAGGCATAGAAGTTTCTTAAACAGCTCTATGGGGGTATTGCTGGGTCCTTCTTCCACCCATGGGCTGGCTCATCATTGCTGTGATGAAGGACTATTTGAGGAAACACCATTCTAGAGTGGGAAGGGAGGTCTCAGATTTGGCTGTTTCAAACTTGTTCCTAGTGTGACCCGTATCTTAGATTTCAGAGTAGCAGCCGTGTTAGTCTGTATCAGCAAAAAGAACAGGAGTACTTGTGGCACCTTAGAGCGTCTCATGGATGCCTCCCCTCTGTGATCCTATAACCTTCCTGTGGGAACTCCAGCAATCACTGACATAGTGAAGTCTCTCAGGAAAGGACTCAATGTATTACATTTTTAATGCCAGGTAGCAACTGGAAACGAGGAAGAGCAGCCAGCACCATGTGTCCAGCCATCTCCCCCAGCAAGTGCTCCCTGGGGATCCCAGTTGGAGAATGGGCAGCTAAGGGGTTTCTCCCTGTGGAGCTTGTTGCATAGTCAAGCCACCCATTTTGCAACACCCACACTGTGGAATGGGAAGTGCTTAGCGCATCAAGAGATTCTTGCTCATGTTGCTTCTTGCTTAACAGTACAGTTAGTCAGCTTGAGAAGGAGGAAACCGCAGCTGTTATCCAGCTGGCACACCCAGATACCTCAGTGGTATGAACTGTGAACAGAGTATGATGCTGGAACTCTACAACTTGCACTGGCTCCTGCGTGGGCAAGGAGCCCACCTCCTCGTGAGCCCACCATGGAAGTGGTGGCTATATTACACACATTGATTATGTTCAGAGTTCCTGCACTGCAGCATGTAAGTGCTGCCACGCGTCTAGGCTAACAGAGCCCAGGTACAACCCAAGGCAGCTAGAGAAAAGGTGGCCTGGACAACAGGGCCATGTCTGGTATACCCCTCAAAAGGGCAGTGGAGACAGCTTTACCCTCACTGTCTTCTGGTTGATCATGCTGAAAAACCTGTCTTTTCCCAAAGAATCAGCAGTGGCTCCAAGGCACCAAGCTGACAAGTGAAGCAAAAAGCAGAAGTGACTGTCCCCCATGGGGACATAACCCCATTCACAGCACCTCGGTACCCTGGGGAGACAAGCTTTAGGAGCAATGAAATACAGATGTGCAGGCCTCTCACCTCATCCTTTCCTGCTCCCGCCTCAGCCGCTCCTTCTCCTTTTCCACCTGTTCTGCCTGAGCTTTGAGCGCCTTCTCCCGCTCCTCCTTCTCCCGCGCTGCCCTCTTGAAATGCTCAAAGCTATCGCTGGAGGACTTTGCTGTGGAGGATGGAGTCGTGAGGGGTTTCTGGACCAAGCTTGCCCACGAGCCCATGTTCTTTATTTTCAGATCCTGTGAAGTCAAGAAGGCAGCATTAGTTTTGAACTGGGCCATAGCTAGCAGACAAAGCCTCCCAGCTAATGTTAACAGCACACAGAAGCATGAGTCTGGCATGAACCTTAGTGCTAGGCATTATGGTTAAGTTCAGAGAGTCACAGTAAGAGGCCACAGAACTCCCCCAAAATCATTTGCTGAAGGGAACCTTCAGCACTTGTGACCTGTTTCAATCCAGCACAGACTGATAGTTACTGAAAGAGGAGGTTACTTACCTATAACTGGGAGTTCTTCGAGATGTGTGGTCCATATTTGTATTCCACTGAGGGGTTACGCATGCGAACCATGCGCCTGCAATCAGAGCTTTTGAAAGTAGTGTGCATTGGTCTGTGCATGCGCTCTGGTTCACCTTGCGCTTCCAGCCGAGGTGATAAAGGGGGAGTCGAACCGGACCGTGTCGCCAGATCCTTCTCCAACACGAATCAGACAGATGCGTAGCAGAGAGGAAGGAGGGTGGGAAGTGGAATACACATAGGGACTACGAATCTCAAAGAACCTCCAATTACATGCAAGTAACCACCTCTTCTTCGAGTGATGATCCCTACTATTCCACTGGTGGTGATTAACAAGCAGTACCTAAGTCGGAAGAGGGTGCAAGGATGAGGAAGGAATGGTTGTGTGGAGAACTGCCATCCAAAGGAGGCATCTGCCACTGAGTCCTGCACTAAGACAGTGTGCTGCAAAGGTGTGTAAGAACTCCCCGTGGCCGCTCTACATTGTCCTTAACTGAAGGGAGTCCATGGTCAAAGCCTGAGCTCTCGTGGAGTTAGCCTGCACCCCTGTGGGGATAGGTAGGCCTGACAGTTGGTAGCAGAGTGAAATGCAACCCGAAATCCATTTAGAGATCCTCTAGGTGGAGATGGCTCGCCCCGAGTCTTTCTGCTACTGCAACATATACAGCCTAGGGGAGTTCCTGATTGGTTTTGTTCTCTGCAAGCAACAGGCCAGAGCTCGTCAGACATTGAGGGAATGGAGTTGATGTTCCTCTGCAGATGCGTGTGGTTTCAGGAAGAAAATAGGTAAGTGAATAGATTGATTAATGTGAAGCTGGGAGACCACCTTTGGTAAAAAGCTGGGGTGTAGATGTAGGGAAATGATCCTTCTCTAACACTATAAAAGGCGGGTCCTCTATCATAGCTTCAAGTTCACCAACCCTTCTCGCAGAAGTGATAGCAACAAGGAAAGCAACTTTCATGGAAAGGAGGGACAGAGCACAATGGTAACAGTTCAAAGTGTGGTTTCGTTAGCATGGAGAGAACTAGATTCAGGTAACCATTGGGGTGTGATCATTTGGATGGGAGAGGTTGTGATGAGGCCTTTCCAAAACCTAGTGGTTAGTGGGCGTGTAAAGACAGTGCAATCTTCCACTGGGCAGTAGAACGCGCTAATCGCTGCCAGGTGGACTCTCAAAGAGTTGAGACAAAACCTGATGACTTCAAGGACAGAACATAATCCAGGATCAGGGGGATCCCCCATCAGTTCAGGCAGAAATACTTTTTGTTAGACCCAAGATGAGAAACGTTTCCATTTGGCTCGGTAACATTGCCTAGTGGAGTCCTTCCTGCTGCTGGAGAGGATGTCTTGCACAGCAGGAGAGCACGTGGAGGCTAAAGCAAATGGCCATCCAAATACCATGTTCTGAGGTGGAGCGCATGTGGATTGGGATGCCTGATCTCGCTGTTGTACTGGGTCAGGAGATCGGGGAAGTTGTGGAGGGGAATTGGTGGGCAGAAGGACATGTGGAGGAGATTGGGAAACTGGAATTGCGTGGGCCAACAGGGTGCGATCAGAATGACCATTGCGCTGTCTTGTTAGATCTTGTGCAGTACCTGAGGCAGGAGAGGTAGAGGAGGGAAGGCGTAGTTGATTTGGTCTGACCAAGGGAGCAGGAGAGCATCACCCTGAGAGTGGTGACCGAGGCCTCCTCTGGAGCAGTATGTGGTACATTTGCTGTTAGTTTGTGATGTGAATAGGTCTCTGGTCAGGGTCCTCCATCAGGTGAAGATGCTGTGTACTACTGAATTGTGAAGTTCCCTCTCGTGGGAATTGCAAAACGTCTGCTGATCGAGTCCGAGACTAAATTCTGTGTCCCTGGATGACAGCTTGCAGACAAGAGAATCTGGTGATTGATGAACCAATTGCAGAGATTGTGCATAGAGCGGCCCATCATGTTCCTGTTTGTTGATATAGGAAATGGCAGTAGTGTTGTCTGACATGAGGAGACCATGATGGGAGTGAATAAACAGAAGAAAGGATTGGCATGCCTTTCTTACAGCTCAGAGTTCCAGGATATTTATGTACATCCTGGATTCTCGGGGAGACCACGTGGCCTGTGCTCATCCATGTGGGCTCTTCAACCTATCGGGGATGCATTGGTGATGATCATCTTGTCTGGTAGGAGGGAAGGAAGGGAACCCGCACGCATATATGACGTGGCTCTGACCACCATCGGAGGGATGACAGCATGAAATCCAGGGAGTGATGATTTGGTGAGTAAACGTACTGAAGCCACGTCTCAAGGCAGCAAAGGTGGAGTTGTGCAAATGGGTCACACATGTACACAAAAACCACGTGGCCCAGGAGGGACAGGCAAGTCCTGGCTGGTACATAATGATTGCTCATGATGTAAGTTATGGCATCACTAACTGTCTAGAACCTGTCTTTCAGTAAGTAGGCCCATACTGTGTCCGAACTGATGATAGCTCCTGTGAAGTCCAGAGACTGTGTGGGGTCTAGGATTGGATTTCTCGACATTGATGTGGACTCCAAGGTGTAGCGGGGTGAACGCCCGCTCCAGCCCTGAAGGGGTTGGAAAAGCCCTGCAGAGGGCTGGGGCTGGGTAAAGGAGCAAAACCCCGGCTGATTGGGGAAGTGGCTGCAGCTGGGGCCACGCCCCAAACTGAGCCACTCAGCCTTATAAGAAGGCCAGGGTAGCCAGAGCTGAAGAGTCTCCCTCTGACTGCAGAGAGAGACAGGCCTGGCTGCAGGGAGCTCACCCGGGGACCTAGAGTGAGGCAGGGCTGGGGAAAGGCCTTGGGGGCTGGGAAGCCCTAGGCCAGCAACTCCCCAGGCTGCAGGACCTGGTCCTAGGCCCATATAGGTATTGGGGTTGCAGAGGGGCAACCTGAGGGTGGGTAAAGGCAGACAGTCCAAACCCTTTGTTGCCTGTAATGGTTGGCCGATAGACTGCAGTCTGCCCCAGGGCGCGGGGGCTAGATGGTGACTGGCAGTAGCCATGACTGAGGCGACATTGGGATAGGGGGTGGGGAGACCCAGAGAGAGAGAGTGGGGTACTGCCAGGGGGGCAGCACCCAAGCCAAGGGCACTGGGGTCCGGGAGGGATACGGGGGCCAACAACAGGTGGGACACCAGGCCTGCAGAGGGCGCTCCGGATGCTGGTGAGCTAATTCCCGAGACGATCAGTAGGAGGCGCCGCAGGCGTGAGTCCAGGCCTGATTACACAAGGGATGAAAGGAAGTTGAGCAACATGGAGGTTGCTTCTTGCCTGGATCGTGCAATTAGAAGCCAATCTAATGTCTGACATAGGCCGCAAAGATGGAAAAAACTTTGGCGAAGACTCGGAGTGGTGGCTATTCTGAAGGGGAGCACCCTGTACTGGAAATAGTGGGTGCTCACTATGAATCTCAGGAAATGTCTGTGGGACGGATGGATATCAATGTGAAAATAAGCAACTTTCATATCGAGAACCGTAAACCACATGCCCTTTTCTATGGATAGGATAATCGTTGCCAGCATGACCATATAAAACTTGAGCTTGTGAATGAACCGACAGATGTCGGAGATTGAGGATTGGTCTCCACCTGCCTTTCTTCTTGGGTATCAAGAAGTAAGTTGAGCAAAACCCTGTTCCATGGTATTCTGTGTGTGTGTGTGTGTTCTACTGCTCCCTGTTGTAATAAGGAGTTCACCATTTGGGTGAGAATGCTGTTGTGAGGGCAGTCCTGAAGAGGGACAGGGAGGGGGGGTCTCGGAGGAGGTAATTAAATGAACTCGATCACATAGCCCTGGTGGATGATGTTCAACACTCATTTGTCTATTATCATCACACTCCAACTGTGGGAAAAGAGTGCTAAATGACCCCCAAGGGGGGGGGGGGGGTGGTTGTGAGGTGGCAGGCATAGTTGTTGGCAGCTCTGGGGCTCGCCTCAGAAATACTTCTTGGTTGGAGGTTGTAGCTGTGATGTTGAAGCTTGCAAAGGAGGCCCAGGAGGGGGCAAGATAGCTGAGTCTTTTGATGCTTCCTTGGAGGCTCAGGGGGTCTTTGAAGGCAAAATTGTGGGGACCTATAGCACTGGTGGAATTTGAGCTTGGGGGCAGGAGCATAGATGCCCAGTGAGCGAAGGGTGGCTCTGGAGTCCTTGAGGGAATGCAGCGATTTATCTGTCTTTTGGTTAAAAGGATGGGATTCACCAAAAGCGAGGTCTTCAACAGTGTTCTGTACCTCCCTCGGGAAAGGACAGTTACCTGTTCCGTAAATGGCGTTCGAGATGTGTTGCTCATGTCTATTCCACAGTAGGTGTGCGTGCTCGCCATGTGCACCAGTGCCGAAAGTTTTTCCCTCAGCAGTACCCGTAGGGGGAGCGCTGCTGCGACCCCTGGAGTGGCGCCTCTATAGCGCTATAAGGGGGGAGCCGCGTGCTCCCCCCACCCTCAGTTCCTTCTTGCCGGACCAACTCCAACAGAGGGGAAGGAGGGCGGGATGTGGAATAGATATGAGCAACACATCTCGAAGAATGCCAGTTACGGAACAGGTAACTGTCCTTTCTTCTTCAAGTGCTTGCTCATGTGTATTTCACAGTAGCTGATTGCAAGCTACGTCTGATGGAGGTGGGTAGGAGTTCAGATTCCCTGGCTGAAGCACAGCTCTACCGAAAACAGCGTCATCCCTGGTGTGGGAGATGATCGCATAGTGCGATGTGAACGTGTGTACTGAGGAC